GTCTTTGATTTCTTTTGTTAGATTGATTCCTAGGTATTTCATTTTTTTGGATGCTATTGTGAAAGGAACAGTTTCTCCAATTCTTCTGTCAGTGAGTCTGTTGTTCATGTACAGGAAAGCTATTGATTTTTGTGTGTTGACCTTGTATCCAGCTGCTTTACTCAATTTGGTTATTAAGTCTAGAAGACTTTTGGTGGAGTTCTTGGGGTCTTCTATATAGAGTATCATGTCACCTTCAGATAATGACAGTTTGACTTCTTCATTTCCTGTCTTTATTCCTTTTATTTCTTTCTCTTGTCTAATTGCTTTTGGTAATATTTCCAGAACTATATTGAACAAGAGTGGTGATAGTGGACATCTTTGTCTTGTTCCTGATTTTAACATGAAGGATTTCAGTTTTTGACCATTCAGTATTATATTGGCTACTAATTTTTCATAGATGGCTTTTATCAGATTGAGATAAAGACCATCTGTTCCAATTTTTTTGCAGGTTTTTAAATCATGAATGGGTGTTGGGTTTTGTGAAATACTTTTTCGGCATCTATTGGGATGATCATATGGTCATTGTTTTTGGTTTGTTAATGTAGTGATTTGCCTTTATCGATTTGCATATTTTGAACCATCCCCTTATCCTTGGAGCGAATCCCACTTGGTTAGGGTATATGATCTTCTCGATGATCTTCTGCATTCTGTTTGTCAGTGTCTTATGGAGGACTTTTGGATCTATGTTTATTAGTGAAATTGGCCTATAGTTCTCTTTTTCAGTTGGGTCTTTCTGTGCTTTGGGGATCAAGGTGATGCTTGCTTCCATGAATGAATTTGGGAGTATTGCTTCCCTTTCAATTTCATTGAAAAGTTTAAACAGTAGTGGCAATAGTTCTTCTCTAAATGTCTTCTAGAATTTAGCTGTGAAGCCACAGGAACCAGGCTTTTCTTCATTGGTGAGCTTTTAATTATGTTTTCAATTTCATTGATTGCTATTGGGTTATTTAGAATTTTTAGGTCTTTTTCGTTCAACTTTGTTAATTCATATGTATCTAAAATCTGTTCATTTCTTCTGTGTTTTCCATCTTATTGGCATATAGGCTCTCAAAGTAGGTATTGATGATCCTCTAGATTTCTGCTGTGACCATTGTAATTTCACCCTTTTCTTTCCTAATTGCATGGATTTGAGCCTGTTGTTTCCTTTTTTTTTGATAAAGTTGGATAAGGGTTTTTCAGTTTTATTTATTCTTTTGAAGAACCAAGTCTTTGCTTCATTGATTTTTTTTTTGTATCATTCTCTTAGTCTCTATTGCATTGATTTATGCTCTGATGTTTATAATTTCCTCCTTTGTATGAGTTTTGTGTTTGTCCTGCTCTTTTTTTTCTATAAGCTTGAGGTTCGGCATTAGGTAGTTTGAGTACAGTCCATTTTCCTAATATGAATATTCACAGCTATGTATTTTCTTGTAATACTGCTTTGATTGTGTCCCATAAATTGTGATATATTGTATTTGCATTGCCATTTAATTGTAGAAACTGTCTGATTTCTTCTTTAATTTCCTGTGTGACCCATTGGTTGTTCAGGAGTGTGTTGGTCAATTTCCATGTGTTTATAAAATTCTTGTGGCTTCTTTTGCTATTGATCTCCAATTTCATAGCACTATAATCTGATAATATACAGGGGATAACTTTAATTCCTTTGCATTTACTTAAACATGTTCTGTGAGCAAGTATGTGGTCTGTTTTGGAGAATAACCCATGTACAGCTGAAAAGAATGTGTATTCTGATTTTGTGGGGTGGAATACTTTGTGAACATCTGTTAAGTTCATTCATTCATGTGCTTGGTTGAGTTCTAGTATTTCGTTGTTGATTTTTTGTCTTTCTTGTTGATCTATGTGTTTCTGACAATGAGATATTGAGGTCCCCACTATTATTGTATTAGAGATTATTTGATTTTTTATGGCTGTTAATATTTGTTTTGTATAGTTGGGTGCACTAGTATATGGTGCATATATATTTATGATTGTCATCTCTTCCTCTTGGATTGTTCCCTTTATAAGGATGTAGTGTCCTTCTTTGTGTCTTTTAATTAGTATTGGTTTGAAATCCATTTGACCTGCAAATAAAATAGCTACTTTTTGGGGGGGGGTTCCTGTTGCATGGAGTATTGTTTTCCACCCTTTAACTTTTAGTCTATAAGTATCTTTTTGAATTAAGTGTGTTTCTTCTATGCAAGATATTGTTGGACCTTGCATCTTGACCCATTTTGCCAGTCTATTTGTTTTGATTGGTGAATTGATACCATTAACATTGATGGTTATAACTGACATGTATTGACTTATCCTTGTCATGACCTTTTCCTGTTATTGGATTCTCCCTCTTTGCATTTAATTTCTTGTCTTGCCTGATGTATTCATTCTGCTGGGCTCCCTGGGATTGTGATCATCATTGTCTTTTCTTAGGATATTGTCTAAAACTTTTTGGAATGCTGGTTTGGTATTCATGAAGTTCCTAAGGTGCTTTTTGTCATGAAAATATCTTATTTCTCCACCAGTTTTGAAAGATAGTTTTGCAGGGTACATCAATCTGGGTTGGAGATTGTTTTCTTTTAGGGCTTGAAAACTTCATTCCATGCTCTTCTTGCCTTGAGGGTTTGGGTTGAGAAGTCTACTGTGATTTTATGAACTTTCCTTTGTATGTGATTTGTTTCTTTTGTCTGAGGGCTTGTAGTATTTAGTTCTTCTGTTGGGTTTCTGGAATCTTGACTATTATATGCCTAGGTGTAGATTTTTTTTTTTTGATCATGGCTAGTTGGAGTCCTATATGCCTCACTTGTCTGTATGTCAAATTATTTTCCCTTGCTTGGGAAATTTTCTGCCACTACTTCTCTGAACAGGTTTTTTAATGTTATTTGCACTCTCTTCTGTTTCTTGACTGACTTGATCAGTCTTATGTTATTCTTCTTTGCATCATCTCGCAGCTGCTGGATTGATTTCTCATGGTCCCTTGCTATTTTTAAGAAATCTTTCTTTTCCTGGTCACTAATTGCAATCCTGTTGTTTATATCCAATATTCTGTCCTCACATTTTATTATTCTACTTGTAAACTTTCAGTGGGATTTTTAATCTCCTGGAAATCTGTTTGCATCTGTTTTATGGATTCCATTTGTTTCCTATGCTAGCATTCCATCATGCTCTTTAGCTCCTCTTTTTTTATTTGTCTGCTCTGGAGTTATTAATCATGTCTTGCACTATGGACACAATCTCTCTTGTTATCTGAGAAATTATTTCTGATCATATTTTTTCCAGATCTGCTTTTGTTGCTAGTTTAGAGTGTCCAGTTGGTTGAGTTTCCAATTATTCCATCTCATTGCCCCTTGGGGTTGTCTTTGGAGACCTGGAAGCCTAGTTTTGAGTCTTGTTTAGGTGTCTTCTCATTTCAACTGATGCAGTCTGCTGGGCCTTTATTGAGGTGACTCCTTGCTCTTCCAGTGGGCTTTAATTCTCAACAACCCTGAGGGGTCTTCTCTCTGCTGCTCACCACTGTAACAATTCCTGGATTCAGAATAATTGCCTTCTGGATCCCCGTGCTCGGCTGTTGCCTGGCCAGACTTCTGATTGGGGCCTGCATGCCTGTGCAGCTGTTTATGAAGCAAACATTTTGCAGAGACTTCCAAGACAAGGCCTTTGCCATAAGCCAGAGGCTCCCCTGTCTGAGGAATCCCCTCTTGCTTCCTGTCTGTTGGGACTGCTCAGCTAGTCTCCAGGTTCATGTGCAAAGCTGAGAAGTCCAAGGCCACTAAGGAGTGTGGGATGGGAGCTTGAACTTTGGAGCCTTTTACAGTTCCCCTAAAGTCTCCAATATTTCCAGATTTATTTCTGAGAAGTCAACATTCACTGAACTGCTGTTTTGAGTGAATAGACCCTAATATAATGCAATGACATATTCAGGGTTTGGAAAGAGTGTAATGATAGGTAAAACTATAAGCTAGGCCATTTATTAAGAGCCTTAGATACATTAACTCATTTATTCTTCACAGAAATCCTCAATTATCCCCATTTTTCAGGTGAGAAATCTGAAATTGAGGGAGTCATTTATTCAAGGTTACAGAGTTAATAAGTGAAGGAGCCAGTTCAATTTGAACCCAGTTTCACTCCATAGTCTAAACTTCTGATTGCTTCAATGCAATACCCTGAGTAGGTCCTCTAGGGCAAGCCCTTTGTTCCATAGATATGGAATTGTGGTCCTGAGTGCTAAGTCCATCTTAGGAGATGATTGGTAGAGAACTGTTCTAAACACTTTAAATAGCTCTAAGAAATTTTCCTTAAGAAAATTTCCTTAAAAAGTGTACATGAGAGTTGTACACTTTTAGACTTGAGCTATGCACTGACCAACATTCTTCAGTGTACCTCTGAATCCCATATCTATGACATGGAAATGCCACCTTCCACTGGAAAGGGACAGAGGGCTTTCTGTCCTAAAACACAGTCTCAGATCACACTTAACATTATGGTTTTTTTTGTTTGTTTGTTTTCCAAAATAAAGTGTAGCTTTACACGCTTGCAGTTCAGCAGTTGAGTGAAGGTGAAGGGGAGGTTGCCCACAAAGAAAAAGTTGTAACAGTTATTGATGAAGAGTGGGGCCTACGTAACACCTCCATAATTGGCCAAGTGGCAGCCCTGATTCTTAATCTGAAATCCACAGGTATACAGCACTGAAGTTAAGGAGGATCCGTGAACCTGAAAAATTGTATGCTACAGTTTGGATCCATGTACACATGGGTACTTTTTTCATTAAAATCTCAAAGGAATCCATGACCCCAAAATATTTAATAATCTTGATTATAAAAACATTTCATCAAATCTTTGTGTATCTTTTCTGAATAGAGATGACAGAGTCCAAAAGTACTGGTTTTAAGACTTTCAGAGATTATCAAGATCCACATAGTATTTCACTTTCCTAATGTCCTTTATGTAGAATTTATTTACATAAACCTTCTTGAATATATTTACAGACTGGATTTTTCCATCTACCACACGGAGACTTTTTCATTGAGCCTGTTAAAATGCATCCAGTGGCCAAGGGAGAATACCACCCCCACATCATTTACAAGAGCCAGAAGCAGAGAGTTACAGAGAGGAAGGAGCCAACCTGTGGATTAAAGGGTATTGTGACTTAAATATTTTTTAAATAGAAGAGTTTCCTCTTCTGCTTATTTTATTAAAACATGTCATCTTCTTATTCAGATCTGTAATCTCCACTGTATTCTGTTGTTGGAAAGTATTAGCCTTGTATAAATTCTTTCACTTTTCAGTACTCAAGTTTCTTTATATTCTTAATGAAAAGGGGAGAAAAGCCTCTTCTAGATTACTTGATAGTCATAACAGTAAGTTGGTTTTAAAAAGTATAACTCTTCTGACTATACTCGAGGAAAATAGTTTAAATTGAAGACTTATTTTCAACATTAGCAATGTTATTATACATATTGTAGAATATGGCCAGGGACCTTGTCACACCTGTACAGGGAAGGTAGATATAAATCTTTGAGGATGCCGATGATGATGTGTGAAGAGAAACTGAAAAATATATCAACCTATAATCAGATGATGAATTTAGCCGAGCTAGTTTTGACCACACTGTGTTGAAGTTGGTATTTGGTGAGCTGTGTTCCCTGTGGATCCGTGAAGATGCCTTGGTCATGACCTAAGCTGCTTCTCTCTGCCTTGTCTGAAATGCTTCAGGTAGTTTTCACAGATAAACTGATCCAGGTTATTTCCTGGTGATGAGATTCTCTTTAATATCTGAGAAATAATAAAGTATGCATAAAAAACCTAAGAAAATTGAAACATTCCCTTAAATAAAATATATTTTCTCTCTTCAGAAAAAAAAGCCAGAAGGGCAGCTAATAAAAGAAATAAATAACATCATTTGATGTCTTAAGGATTTGGAACGTGGACCTCAAAGGGAAAATGGGCAGTTAGGGAAGGTAGATCTTGATAAAGGTTGGGAGGACTCAGAAGCAGAGATTTGCAAATAGAATGGAAAGACAATGGATAAGTAACTGCTCCACAGACTTCAGCCAGTCTCTAATTGATGGCAGCTTTCTTGGGAGTTTCTTCTATAATCTTAGCAGTGTAAATTAGCAATAAGAAACTTTTCAATCTATGTTTCCTGTGCACAAACTCAGATAGCTACTTTAATTCCTTACCTTCAGTGAGCAATTGCAACTTTGTCCTAAATTAGGTAATTTACTATAAAAATCTTCTAACAAGAATTGAAAGAAGAGACAAATCACCCAGCTGATTTGATTGCTGAGTATACCAATCCAGGTAACTTAATCTCATGTAAGTCTTTAGGAGTCTCTATTTGTTATTGTTGAATCTCCTAGATAATTGCCCAATTTTGGTTACATTTTGAGTGATAACGTTGTCTGTGCGTGATTTGATATGTTTTAGATTGAATCTAAGGTCCAAGTTGCCAGTATGGCTGAGAAAGTTACTAGAGCATTGAATGCATTTGGCTGGACAACTGTTCCTGTAGGTATAATTGTGCTGAAACGTGAGTTAAAAGAATTTCTCATCCACCCATATTAAACATCTCTGTCTCCCCTGTTGAGATAAGTTGATTAAAAATTAACTAAGAATTGCACATATTTAATCATGAAGGAAGAATGAATGCATAGGAAAAGAGCACAATTTACAAATGCCACAGTACCTACTAGGTCACACAAAATATAATTATAATATTTGTAATACCATTTCATATTGTGTTTCTAGGCCAACCTTAAGACTTTGCATATCAACAAAGCTTCCTCTAATCCCAACCTAGAATTATGTTTGTATTATGAATTTCTCTACACATTTTCTGAAAGACACTCTCTTCTACTTCCTTAGAGCCTCAGAGTGTCAGCCTCGATTCACTGTGTCAGAAGACCCTGTGAAGGTGTCTAGTGGAGCCTCCTTCCACTAAAAAAAAATTGTAAATCTGAGAATAATTTTGAAACACATCAAACTCCTAAGTGTCAGAATGGAGCCAAAATTACAAGTCATAGTTCTATTATACCTCAGCCTTTATATGACCAGATATATATTCTTTACATCTTCCTGGAATATAAATCTTGTTTCACAGCCATTATCACAAGTAAAACAGGGGCTTCCTCCTCCAACAATGTGTAACTTGCTGTAGTGTTAGGTGCAAAGTAGGAACTGAATAAATTACTGACATGAAACAGTGTTTCATAGCCACAAAGTCAAAGCTAGGGTATACTGGCTTCTACTCTGTGTTACACTGATAAAAAGAAATATTTCTTTTCTACATATTGAGGAAGTATTTGTTTGTAACCATTTCTCTTTCTAACATAATGTTTAAATCATAGAAAGAGATTAAAAATATTTAATGTGCTCATAAATATTCTTAAAAGAGTTGTGATATTTAGAATTATAAAATCTTGGTAGAGTGAAATATACCTGGTCTTGCTGGAACAGATAATTGCAATGTTCTTGTACCCTGCTACCTTGCAGAGATGATGGAATTAATTCACAGTAATTGTGTCATTAGCCAACATTAAGGTACTCTTTATGTTCAGGCCAATTGGTGCTACAAGACTAAATTATTGTGATTATATAAAAGGATCATCTTTGCTATGTAACTTGCAAAGGCAGTAAATGTATCAATTATTTTCCCCTAAAATATATCCCTTCACTTATTTTTGTTTTGTTTTGTTTTGGTAACGGGGATTGAACTCGGGTCCTTGCGCTTGCACAGCAGGCGAGGAAACCACTGAGCCAAATCCCCGGCCCCCTTCATTTATTTTTATTTACTACATAGAAAGATGCCAGGAATTTCACAATATGTTCATTGTCAATAAGGTGCAGTTTCTTTTTGTGAGACTGTAATATAATGCAGTTTTGCTTTTAATTTGATTAATTTTACATTTTCTTCATATTTATTTTAATATATTTGCTTTTCTGAGCTTTTTTATTTGCTGAGCCCTGATGAAGTTTTTGTTTTCTCTCAGATCAACTTTGTGGACTCCATGCTAAATAGTGGGGAAGTACAACTTGTCTGAATTAAATCTAGAGCAATTTTCAAACTTAGTCATAAATGATGACAAACTCTTTTCCATTAGGATTTTTGGTGAGAATGTGATCACACTGGGACTTGAATGGCTGTTAGATGGAAATGCCTGGGGGAACTTTGGTTCCAGAACACCAGGGAAGGAGTTAGCACTAGTTAGATAGCTCAGATGACAACAGCTACCTGGTGATTCATGGAGGAAAAGGTCCCAGCAGGTAAGGTTAGTCTGAGATTTCATTCATCAGAAGTTTAGGCCAAAAGTACGGTGTCTAGTTCTTGAAATGCATGCTTAGGTTCAAAATTCATTCATTCATCCAACAAATATTTATTAGGTATCCTTTTTATTCCAAGTGTTCCCCTAGGCTCTGTGAGTACAACTGTTAATAGAACATAGTTCTTTGTCTGAAGTAAGTAGGTATCCAATCCTCCCCCACCCAGATATATTGAATCTTAACACATATATTGATGTATTGGGCTTTGGTAACTCTACTTTATGTTGAAATTGCAGTTCATTTATATAGAATTGCAACTCATTCATCGTTTCTGCTGTAGAATTCTGTTATATGACTTTTCCACTCTTGATTCAATCTCCTGCATTTCTGAACTGCCTCCAGGTTTGAGCTATTATACAATATGTGGCAAAGATCATTCTTATCCATCTTTCCTAGTACATAGGTTCTTAAGAATTTCATTCTACTACTAGGTACCCTATTCCACTACTGAGTGGAATAAAACCACTAACATAAAGAAGCCGGGTGTGATGGTATAGGCCTTAATTCCAGCGATTTGGTAAACTGAGGCATGGGGAGCACAAGTACGAGCCTAGCCTTGGCAATTTCGCAACTTAGTGAGACCCTATCTCTCAATTAAAAAAAAAAAAATCAAAGAATGCTAGGGATGTAGCTCAGTGCAAAGACCCTGGGTTCCATCCCTAATACCTAACAAACAAAACCAAACCACATAGACTATCTGCATCTATGGCTATCACATAATGCAAAGTTTCTTTTCAAAGTTGATATTCAAGAGTAATGAATGAGTCCCCATTGTCACATATTTTGTGTAATATTGGTAGTCTTGCTTTTAAAGTTTGTCATTGTGATATGGGGTGGAATCTCATTATTCTTCATGAGCACCAGGCGTGGTGGTACACACCTATAATCACAACACTCAGGAGGCTGAGGCAGGGGGCTTCCCATGAACTCGGCCTGCACTACATAGTGAGTTCAAGGCCAGCTTGAACTAATAGTGAGACCTTGTCTCAAAAAACCAAAAAGAAAAAAAAGTTACACATGAGCAGTTGGAAATTTGGGCCCCAAACTGAAGATGCTCAAGGAATATTTTTTGTCTCTTACTCACATAAAGTTGAGGCCAAAAAACCAAGGTTTAGTTTTTCTCACTTGTTTGTTTTCTGGTTTACTTTTTCATGTAGGCTCTAATCTGACTGTTCATGAATGTGTATCCTCAACTTGACCCTTTTTCCCAGAGCAAAATATAGGGAGCAGCAGATGCCCCAGACTAGCTGCTAGTTCCATGCATCAGTCAGGGCCCAACCAGAGAAGCAGCAGGGTATATATGTTAAAATATCTGTGGAAGCAGACCCCACAGCAGCAGTGGGGCTAGGTAGGCAAGTTTACAGTCTACAGGCAGGTCACCAGTAAGGAAACGCCACAGCTCCAGAGCACAAGCTGAGGCAGCTCTCCACTGGAGAGTCTTTGCCTCTGGGAAGCCTCAGCTTTGCTTGTAAGGTATTTCCATTGGTTGAACCAAGCCCATAAGGTTATCCAGGATAATGTTCTTTACTAGAATCAAGTGATTATGGGCTTTAAGCACAGGCACAAAATACTGCCATAGCAACCCCCCATTAGAGTTTGATTGCATAACTCAGGATTGCTGCATCCTAGCCAAGTTGACACATACAAAAAAAAAAAAAAATCATGGAACTACATCTTTTGCTTTTTCTCTCCAAAATTTTGCTAAATTGTTTTTTATTTTTCTCTTTGCTACCCTTAGGTTCTTGTTTTTACCTCTTGTTTTGACATTTTAGTACTGTGAGGTGCTTAATATTAAAATAATTTCTCAGAATGTCTAG